AAAGAAAAGAAATGATCTTACCAGGACTGTTGCCGCTCTCTTTATTGCTGTCTTTGCTTTTTTTGAAATTAGCCAAAGATCAAATTTCGGCTCATATCTGTTGCTTTCGGTGACGCGCACTTCATTAAATCTGCATAGCGCGTGAATTGAAGATCGGATTTATATCCGTTTTGCAAAAACACATTTATGTGACCAGCGTGTAAATGGAATCGTTTTGATAAATCAGATAGCTATCCGATTTGAGAAAACGCATGAAGTGGCCAGGTGTTAACAGCCCCCTAGGAGTGGTGACCGGCGGCACATTCAGTGTCTGTCCGCGGCGCCCAGCAACGGCTCAGCAGAACCTTGTTCGAAATCCTGCTTTGCCACAGAGTGCCATTTACATAGTTTTATATAAAATTTACTTTTATTTGTATCAAACCGTCGTTAATGTAGGCTACATACTGACTTCACTGTGTGCTGCAATTTATATTTACTTTTACATTCATTTTCAGAAATCAGCTGCTTAAATGAGAATTGCTGAGGTAAAGTGTTCTGCAGACTTCAACGATTGTATTTAATTGTACAGTACAATTATAACATAGTACAGACATTATCTTAATTCCATAATGTCTTTAGTTTAAACATTACAATATTGCCGGCCATAAACTTGCGCGTCCGGTGTGCAATAACGTTACCTCTTTCCTAGACGCGGCGCGCGCTTCTCGTCCGGTGTGCGATACTTCTGTCCTAAGACGCTTCTCGTCCGGTGTTATGACACCACACAAATTGAGAAACGGGCATCATAAACAAGTGATTAACAAGTGCTGCATGGTGCATCTCAAATTGTCTCTTAATATTTTACTTTTTGAGAGACTTTTTCAGTCAGCATTTGAAAATTGGGAGAGCCATATAAAATCCTGAAAAGAGCCATATATGGCTCGCGAGCCATAGGTTCCCGACCCCTGAGCTAACACAAAGTTTCGCCCGATTGCAAGGTCCAGACGTGCGTAATCGAGTTCCTCGTAATGGACCTGTAATTTGTAGAAGGTGTCAAAAGCCAGGCCATTTTGCCCGAGAGTGCGACGGGGAGCGAGCTCCCCAACGGGCCCCGCATTCCATGTTACCATTCGCTGGGGGTAAGCAGCCTTCCAATTCTGCACAATCGGAAAACTAGTGCCCACCGTGCTGCAGAGCCACAGCTCGGTTGGGGAGTCTAATGGCTCCGCTTTGACAAATGGTTTAGTTCATACGTCTCGTTTAATGTCCTCCTGTCCTCATCTTGTTGTATCTATAGGTGGAGTGCTGTTGCCCTGTTTGGTGGATACCGGCTCCATGGTCTCCACCATTACAGAGAGCTGTTTCCGGCAGCATTTTGAGCCATTGGGTCAGGAACAACTTCGGTCATGTCAATGGTTACAGCTTCGTGCCGCTAATGGTTTGTCAATTCCTTATCTTGGTTATATTGAGCTAGATATTGAGCTCTGTGGCCAAGTCGTTTCAAATTGCGGGGTGCTTGTTGTCCGAGATCCTCCTGGTGGCTTGTGTGATCAGGTTCCAGGCGTTCTCGGAATGAACGTTCTGAAGCGATGCTACCAGGGGCTTTTTGGACAGCATGGCCCTGCCCTCTTCGAGTTGCCAGACGTGTCAAAAGCCCCGCATTTCGTATTTCAGGCACTACAATATTGTAGTGATGTTAACACCACAAATAGCCTGAATCGCATTGGTATGGTTCGAGTTCGAGGCCGTAGGCCTTGTCGTATTCCAGGAGGCACGGTTAAGTTTGTTCCGGCAACTTGCTCCGAGGAATACTCTCATGGAGCTGTCCTTTTTGAGCCTCCGGGGTCCGGTTTGCCTGCTGGGTTGCTAGCCTCCCCGGCGGTAGTTCAGGTAAGCCAGGGGACTGCCTATATATCTGTAGTAAATGTTGGCGTGACTGATGTGATGCTTTACCCTCGTTCCATGATTGGCACCTTGAGTAGTGTTTATGTGGTGAGTTTGCCCGCAGGTGTTCCTGAAGTTCAGTCAATTGTGGCCGTTGTGGGCGCTCAGAATGCAGAAGTGGCATCTACTGTGCTCGAGCAGGTTGAGGAATTGGATCTGTCAAGTTTATCAGAGGTCGAGCGGTGTCAGGTAAGGGCGTTGCTCTACAAGTTCCAGTCGGTGTTTTCCACCGGGGAGGGAGATTTGGGTTGTACAAACTTAATCTGCCATGATATCCCTTTAGTAGATGAGACCCCTATTCGTCAGCGCTTCCGTCGGATACCTCCATCAGAGTATGAGGTAGTAAAAGCCCATATAAACCAGTTACTTGAGGCTGAGATCATTAGAGAGAGCTGTAGTCCATTTGCTTCACCGATCGTGCTGGTTAAGAAGAAAGACGGTAGTCTACGCATGTGCGTTGACTACCGTCAGCTTAATTCCAGAACTAGAAAAGACGCGTTTCCTCTGCCCCGAATTGATGAGTCCTTGGATTCCCTGAGTGGTGCCTGTTGGTTTTCGACACTTGACTTGGCCAGTGGGTATAATCAGGTTCCAGTCACTGAGAAAGATCGGTTTAAGACGGCTTTCTGTACACCTTTTGGACTCTTTGAGTGGAACCGTATGCCCTTTGGCCTGTGCAATGCCCCAGGCACCTTTCAGAGGTTGATGGAACAGCTATTCGGGGACCAGCAGTGTCAGTCTTTGCTTTTATATCTGGATGATGTGGTGGTATTTTCTACCTCGGTAGCTCAACATCTGGAGCGTTTAGAGGTTGTCCTGGGTCGGTTAGAACGTGAAGGACTCAAGGTCAAGTTAAGCAAGTGCGCGTTTTTCCAGAGAGAAGTAAAGTATTTGGGTCACGTCATATCGGCCGAAGGGGTTTCAACCGATCCTGCAAAGATTGAGGTTGTAGCCAATTGGCGACGTCCATCTAATGTGGGGGAGCTGCGTTCCTTTCTTGGTTTCGTTAGCTATTATCGCTGCTTTGTAGAGGGGTTTGCCAAATTGGCTGGCCCCCTGCATAAGCTGGTGGCGGCGTGTTCTAGTTCGGGACCTAGGAAGCGGGCTCCTCGTGGGTTTACAGAAGGGGATTGGACGGAGCAGTGTCAGGTGAGCTTCGAGGAATTGAAGAATAGGCTTACTACCGCCCCAGTGCTAGCTTATGCAGACTTCTCCCGGCCCTTTATTCTCGAGGTGGATGCTAGCCAAAGCGGGTTTGGCGCGGTCCTCTCGCAGGAACACAGAGATAAGGTGCGCCCTATAGCATATGCCAGCCGCAGTCTTAGGCCCACTGAGCGCAACATGACCAACTATAGTTCCATGAAATTGGAGTTCGTGGCGCTCAAGTGGGCCATGACAGAGAAATTTAGGGAGTACTTACTGGGACAGAAGTGCATTGTTTACACGGATAACAACCCCCTTAGCCACCTGACATCTGCTAAATTGGGAGCCACCGAACAACGTTGGGCTGCCCAGTTGGCTTCCTTCGACTTTGAGGTCCGGTATCGCTCTGGGCGAAGTAACCGGAATGCGGATGCTCTTTCTAGACAGCACCAGTTTTCGCAGGAGACACGTGAGAATTTCTTACCAGGGACCGTTATTCCAGCAATGGTAAGGCAGGCAGCTGAGGCAGAACCAGTAGTACAGGTCAATCAGGCAGTGATCACCGCGTTGCCCAGTTTCTCAATCGAAGACCTGAGCTCCTTACAGGAGGCGGATCCTGATATTCAGAGAGTTTTGGCGTTTTGGGAACAGGGGTCTTTTCCCAGCTCTGCAGAGCGCCAAAATATTTCCAAGTCTGTGTTAACTTTGCTTCGGCAAGGGGATCGTCTCGTAAAAAAAAATGGGGTATTGTACCGCCGTATGTCACGCCCTGATGGTGGTGAGGAGGTGCTACAGTTGGTTTTACCAGTAGCGTTAAAACGTGATGTATTGACCCAATTGCACCAGCACCATGGACACCAGGGTGTTGAACGCACTACAGAATTAATACGGCAGCGGTGTTATTGGCCAGGGATGTCTGCGGAAGTGGCGCAGTGGTGTCGGGAATGCGAGCGATGTCAGCTGGCCAAGGACACCCAACCACTTGGCCGGGGTTTTATGGGCCATGTCCTAGCCTCTAAGCCAAATGAGATCTTGGCTATTGATTTTACCATGCTTGAGCCTTCTTCTTCTGGACATGAGAATGTTTTAGTGTTAACAGACGTGTTCAGTAAATACACCCTTGCCGTTCCGACCAGAGATCAGCGGGCCGAGACCGTTGTACAAGTTTTGGTCACAGAGTGGTTTTTCCGGTTCGGGGTCCCAGGTCGCATCCATTCCGACCAGGGTCGGAATTTTGAATCGGCCCTTATGAGACAACTCTGTGGGTTTTATGGGATTGAAAAATCCCGTACTACGCCTTATCACCCAGCTGGCAATGGCCAGTGCGAACGGTTCAACCGAACCCTTCATAACCTCCTTCGCACTCTGCCAGCTTCTAGGAAAAGGGATTGGGCGTCTTGCCTTCCGCAGATCTTGTTCTGCTATAATACCACCCCCCATCAGTCCACCGGTGAGTCTCCGTATCTCCTGATGTTTGGCCAGGAACCTAGACTGCCTGTTGATTTTCTTTTGGGTAGGGTTCAGGAACCTGGGGAGGGCGGGGTCCATGAGTGGATCGTAGAGCATCGAGCAAGGATGCAAGTGGCATTTGAGGGTGCTAGGGAACGCTTAAAGGCGGCTGCTGAGTACCGTAAGAAACGGCACGATCAACATGTTCGTGATGCACCACTGAGGGAGGGTACACTGGTTTATCTCCGTGATCATAGCGTGAGAGGTCGTCATAAAATCCAGGACCTGTGGAGCTCAGTGTTGCATCAAGTACTGCGGGCACCAAAAGATGGAGGGTCTGTGTATACTGTTGCACCCGCTGGTGATTTGGGAAAAGTTAAGCGTGTTCACCGTTCCCTGATGAAGCCTCGAATACAGCAAGACCCCCCAATTGTTGAGTGCCCTGCTAGCCCCCCAGTTAGCCCGTCGTCCTCACTAGGGGACGCGACAGTTTAGATCTGTGGGTGGCTGTAGAGGAGGCTTTGCCGGCCGTGTCAGACCTGCCGGCACCTTGCATGATTCCAGTAGCACCAGTGCCACCTTCTGTGGAAGGCATGGGGCCCTCTGTAGAGTCCTTGCCTCCTGTAAACAATTTGGTGCATGACGTGGATTTGGGTCTTCCTGGCACATCCATCTTTCTTTCCTCAGACCAGTCTAGGGATAGTGCTGAGGCTGTGCGACGAACGAGACGTGCCACAGCGGGGCAACATTCTAACATCCATCATCTTCCGCGAGCAGTGGAAAATGCAAGGGATGAGGTATCTGTTTCAGGGACGGTGTCTAGTATTAGTTCTGGGTTGTTTAGGCCTTGGTACTGATGTTCTCTTTGTATCTATCGTCGGGGCGACGACACAAAAGTAGGGGGTAGATTGTAGTGAAGTCGTGTGACGTCAGTACAATTTGGTAGGTGGCCAATTAGTAATTGCCCATTTGTGGTATATAAACCTTTCATTCAGGCATCTTGGGGTGCGTCATGGTTGAAAGCCCGCCCCTTCCGTTGTAAACACCGACTGAGTGTCCTGCTGCGTTGCTGAGGGTTTGTGCGTGTGGGTTGCTGCTTACTCCCAGGTAGGCTTGGTACCATCCCGGGGCGTAGGGGGAAGTTTTTTTTTTTTTTTTCTCCCTGATTTGGATTGTGGCAATTTGTTCCAGTATGATGTGCCTTCAGCGCTTCCATCGTTGTGGCATCGCAATGTAATTGATCGGAGCACCAGCTGTTTCAGTCAACGAGCCTGTTAAATGATTCTCTGGTATATGTTGACGTGTAACTGGATCGTACTCTCTGGTAGGTAAACTGGGTTGGTATTTTGTGGCATTATCGGGTGGGTAACTGGTCGATCACTTCATTAGTTATAATCCTCCTTGTTTACTGTTTTGAAGGTCTTCGTGGACTCTAAAGTGGGCTAATTAAGTGAGCAGTCGCATTAAACGGTGCGCTCTCCCTCTCCGTCACTCTCTCTCTCTCTTTGAAGCCACGCTGCTGCTTTCTCCACATCGATACGCTTAAGTCGAGCGTGTACGTGGGCCTGAGGATTAAATTTGCTCTTTTTTTTCTATTAGTTGGCATTTCTTTACTATTGTTTTCTTTGGTTGACCAGTTTTCAAGTTATGTAAGTTTGAGTGACTGTCTGTCTGAAATCACTGCTGGGTGTGTTCCTGCAGCGGTCACAGTGTAACGTATTTGTTTATTGTTTGGTTGTAGAGTGTTTAGAGTTTTCTTTACTTTGGGTTTGATTTGAGGGAAATATTTTCTTTATTATTATTTTTGTGTGTGTGTGTTGATTATCATGGACTAAGTTAATTAGACCGATTGTGAATGTGGTTTGTTTATGTTTTCCTTGTTAAATTAATGTGTCGTGCCATCAGGCATTTATTCGATTCTGATTGATTCTGCCTGTAGTAATCGCTGTGTCCCTGCAGCGGTCATTTGAAATTGTTTCAATTGTTTTTTTTTTTTATTTTGAATTGTCTGTCTTTAATTCGTTAATAGTATTCCTATATTGTTTGTCTTTTTGGTGTGTGTAAGTGTTTTTCTTTCTTTGGTTCTTGCTACGTTAAAGTCAATAAATTGACTTTGAATATTGTTTTTTTCTATTATTTTCAGTTTCTTTTCTATTTTCTTTTTCTCTTTTCCTTTAGGAGCTGATGCCCTCCTGGAGCGGGCTGGTTGTCTGTTTTACAGCAGGTTTTGTTCACTGAGAATGTTATTGCAGTTTCATTATTGCCGTGTCACTATCTTTGGCTATTTGCAGTGAATTGGGTGGGTGTAAGAGTGGTTGCCGTGTTTCTTATGGTGGACCTGCTGCTGGCACACTAGCCTGCTCCTGTGCTGAAGCCTCAGTCTCCGACGTTAAGTCAAGTGTGTTATTAATTTTGTAAAAGTGTATTGAGAATCTGGTGAGCTTATAATAAGCCTTGTGGAGGTTTATTGTGAATTTTGTTTTTTTTTTTGCTTATTTTCTCGACCGTATTTAAGCCAATCATGACCTTTGAACTACTGTTTTTAAAGCACTGTTGATCAACTTTTAACGTCAATAAAACAATTTTTGTACGGAAGCCCATGCCTCTTGCCTTTTCTAGGTGGAACGTATTTGTGTGCTATATTTGTGCTTATTTGCTTATTTTCCCCGTTAACCTGGGGTGGCGTAGTCACTAAAATTGAGCCACTTGCTACATAAAGATTTGCGTCTTTAAATAGTAAAATAATTCTCAGAAAAACAGCTAGCCTCTTCGCTAACTAACACACAAAATACCATTGGAATGCTACTTCCGCCACCTCACCGGAAGTTTCACGCACTTTATTGTTTACAGGAGCGCCCCTCGGAAACTTGTGGATATGCGAACATGGTGTTTAATGCGCATGTGCCAAAAATACTACGTCATGATGACACACTACTTCACTAGAGTTTGAAAAATGCGCTGCCGTTGTTATGTTTCTGTAATCGCGATGCATGAGGAAAGGAAAGAAACTAAGGCTTCCCAAGCAAGAAGAGAACAAAAGGAGCCCCACGTTTGGCTGTTTGCAGATGAGATGTTATACTGTAAATAATCAGTCAAGTAAGTATATCTTGATGCTTTCTTTATTGAATTTTTTTTTCACCGCAGTTGATATTGCGATTAAGAGTGCTTAGTCGCAGATAGTAATGTTGTTATACGCAATAGATTCGGGAGGTAAATTAAGTTAATCATGTTTCCAATAATTTATCTATGATTGATTGCATTCTAATAATGTCTTACATCGTAATGTGCTCGCGTGTGTGGGCGTGTTCGAGGAACTTGTCTACTGAAATGTGTTTAAAAAAAGTTTATTTATTTTTATTAAACCGAATTTTTAAATAATTTTAAACAAACTAAATGACTTTAAGGTAAATTTGCATGCTGAATGCTGATCCAATATTGTAACTTTCGAAGACATTTATATATTAACCATACATGTTTAATATATCACCCACCTTTAGAAATAATGCTTGTAATGTATTTAATTTCGTTTTGCATTTGAAGAGAGTTGTTCAGTTACTATTTGATTTGGAATATGTAATATTTTTGTGCTTATCTGGATTAAACATTCATTTTGCAGGATCAGTTCACATTTGTTATTGGAGATATAGAGTAAGCGGTGTGGAATCACAGACCTGTATTGATGAGGTGAGATGACAAGATTTATTATGAATTTTTGCCCAGCCAGCACACCAAGCTAAAACACTGCTATCAAGTCACCAAGTATCCCTATAGCCTTTAATGCTTTGTATCTTTTCCATTTGCAAGTTATACATCCCCACCTGTGCATACATATGCCCCTATAATCATCATATTTACAACAAACCAAATGAAGAAGGCTGCCGCATTACTGTGTCAACCGTGGTAAATACAGGAACATCCTTCATGAAGATACGTCCGGCAGGATTAAAATTCAAGATTACCTTTCTCAATTTGCATGGGTCTTGGGTTTGCATGTATCATTAACCTATATTTATGAAATTGATAAAGTTATGTTTAATTCCTTGTAAAGTAGCTAAATAAATGTTCTCTATTTTAATGACTTTAAGCCCAGTGTCAGTGAAGATAGTGTGGACAGTGCAATCCTGGTGTTTTTGGGAAATAGAGGAACTTTGCCCAGATTTCTACTTTGGCGTGACACTTATAAGGGTAATTCATCACATCACATATTCATCAACAGTTAGCAGTCAAAAGTTTACGTACACCTTGCAGAATAAACCGCTTCATCAGGGTATACTAAATAAAAAGACAACATATACATTTTTGTGTTCCCTCTTATTGCTAAAATTACTAACATTTTGCAGACACTGCAATGTGTATATAAACTTTAAAGGGAAAATATCTATCACTTTCATTAATTTGAGCCAAATTTAATAATGGACTGGATCTGTTTTATAAACAAATGTTTTCACTTTTTTTTTTCTCAAGGTATTTTTTCCTGACTTTCCTGCCTCTTTGGAACAAATCCATTCACATTTACTATGGAGAGCACCAGGACATTGACATAAACAGGACTTTCCAACTGTCACTTGGTGACAAATGTTTTTGGTTTTCTTATTTCTTTGCCTTTAAATTTCTTCAGTGTTTTTTTTTTAATTTATTTATTTATTTATTTATTTTAGACAGACTTATATTCACTGTAATGCTGAAGTAAGCATTTTGTCCTCTCTAATGTTGGTGCTACGAAAAGGTTTAAGAGCTAAAATTAACTAGGTTCGGTAACACTTTAATTGGGTCTCATTGGTTAATATTAGTTTATGTATTAGCAAAACATGATTTAAAAATGAGCATTTTTTAACAGTATTTATGAATCTTTGTTAATATTAGTTAATTCAAACATAGTTTGTTGAAGTTAGAACAATATATAATTATTGTTCATGCGAGTTCACAGTGCATTATAATTTTAATACACAACTTTTGAATATAATAATGCATTATTAAATGTTGAAATTAACATTAACTAAGACTAATAAATGCTTCAAGTATTATTCATTCATAATTCATGTTAACTGAAGGAGTTAACTAATAATACCTTTTTGTAAAGCATTACCCGTTTGAATCTTAGTGTTCACATTTTGCAGTATAACGTCACATCACATTTTGTTTGTATTAATTCATGGGTTGTGTGTTTGATGTACTGTGTGTTTGCTTCTAAAATGATGTTTGTACTGGTAATCCCTGTTATGGGGACCAAATTACCCTAAAAGTATAGTAATACCAGTAAATTACATGGAAACAATTTTATAAATCATACAGAATTATGTTTTCTGAAAATGTAAAAACAAGAAAATGTTTTCTGTGATGATAGGTTTAGGTACCTTTGTATGAGGGAGAAAATTATTGTGCATATAAGCATTATTGCCCTCCAGACTCTTTCTAAATGAGAGTTAAAGGGATATTTCACTTTAAAATGAAAATTCTGTCATCATGTAGAGACTCTGTTCGGGTCTGCTCAAGGGTGAATTTGCATATCATAATTAATAATTGATAATTAATAATTATTCATACAGATTTGGATCAGACCGGTCTTACATATTAATAAATCTCCCATTTAGGGAGGCTTATTAATTTTACCCATATGCATACATGAATTCTGTGGCCACAAGAATTAGCTTTCCTGCTCTATAAACAAATACCCTTTTAGGTATGTTTAGTTCTGTAAAGCGTGTAGCTTCTTGGATAACATTTCATTGACTAGTATTATGAGCGGACAATAATCAGTCAAACATGAGCATAATTGTGTTTAATAAAGCAACTACTTAAACATTTACTACGTTACAATGATACATGTATTTACAAACATTAAAACACAAACTAAGACGACGCGGGGGGTTTAGACAATGGATACGCGTAAGTGAGTTGGAGAGGGAGAGAGTATATATATATATATATATATATAGAGAGAGAGAGAGAGCATGGAGAGAGGAAGAGACAGGTTTACATTCACCAAGACAGTCAGTTAACCTTTCTGAACAACACGAAAACACTTTCTTAATGCTTCTTTCTAATGCGTCTTTAAGGTGACGTTACCTGAGTAAATAGTTTCTGCAAAGTCCACTTCCTTTCCTGGAAGTTTTTATCGACGAATGTACTTGTCCATCTTAATCTTCCCTGTACCAGTTGGTGGGTACCAGATTTGCCATACATTATGTTGGTTAGTCGTAGTTTGTAGAGTTTGAAACACTATCCCATTAGCATTTTCAAACAACATCGATCAAACACAAAATAAAAGGCACATCGTGAGATAAGGAGATTGGATACATTGCTCATACAATTTCTCAAGGGAATATATAACAGAATGCACAGGTATATAAATAAGGATTCATTTCTCCTTAGTTAGAATTCAGAGAGAGGGAGAGAGGGCCACACTTCTCTGAAATTCCTTTTATCTGAAAACACCAGGCTCTGACAATGATGGTAAGTTTTGGTCCTCACTAAAGGAAAAACTGGTGCATATAGAGAATCATACATTTTACTATAATTTCTTGTATCTGATTAATTCAGCGGGACCATGAGAATTAAAACCAAGAACTATACGTCACACCTCTTCTGAATGGAACAGTAACAATGTGAGGTCTGTCATTACATACTGCAACCAGCGTCCTTTTTTCAGAGCAATGAAATGACGAGGTTGACATTTGCCTGCTGTCTCTAGTGTATCTCTGCCAGCAGATGAAAAGAGGAAAAGGTCTCTCATTAACAAAGGATGGGTTAGTGTACAATATCTAGCACATGCACACTAATTACCCTACAGTTTCATAAGCCGTTAGGTGGTTTTTCAATAGAACTTCACTCCAATTCAGACTGATGTGACAGTATCTAATCTGAATTTATCAAAAATACCCATTATTTAAATGAAGTGCACTGTGTGACAAAGAAATGTGAAAGCATTAGGCTACCACGCCTGTTGTGAGACATAATTAGTGTGAGACATAAAGTTGTGTTTTGAGTTATGTGTAAACGGATATGGGATCTGATTCCCATGTGAGTCCCAATTATACACTATGGTAGGCTATGGAATTTTAATACATTATGTGTAAAGTAATATCAAAAATTGAATCATTTCAGAAATGCTTAGACCTATTATAATCATAAACGCATGGGGGCAGCAAACCTCTGCAATGAGAAGACTGGTCAAATATCTTGTAAATATATTTGTCAAGTCCAAATCTCCAAGATTGTGTAACCCTGTAGGCATTTTTGAGGAAAAGTTGTTATACCACATTTTTAGAAAGTTCAATGTGTCCTGAATAAGGATCCAACATATAACATTGAAATAAGGGTCCCTTTTTCTTGTAATTGTTAATCGAAACAATAGGTGCATTATTCACAGCCGAAACACTACAGGTGGATAGGGTAAATTTTTTAAGTTATAGCTACAACCATAAAACTTTACCAGTTTTTCAGTTATATAGAGACAAACATTTTTTG